AACGGCTACAAAGTTCACCAGCATTAGCCCATTTTGACGAGACAGCCGACACTTAAGTCCATACCTATGCCAGCAATGTCAGCCTCGTTGCCATCCTGGTGCATTGGCAAAATGGTCAAAAAAATTGTTAGCCTATGCCAGCTGCAAACTCTCAAAAGCGGAGGCAAACTACTCTGCAGCTGAACAAGAGTGCCTCGCAGTCATTTGGGCAATGAACAAGTTTCGACCCTACCTTTTTGGTAGACCGTTTAGAGCTGTCCGTGACCATCATGCTATTTGCTGCCTGGCAAATCCCAATGATCCGTCAGGTCCACTAGCAAGATGGAGCCTTAGGCTGCAGGAGTATGACATTACTGTCGTATACAAATCTGGAAGAAAACACAGTGACGCCGACTGCCTGTCCCGCATCCCCATCGATCGAAGTGTACCTGAAAAGTAAGACTTCCCGTTTCTAGTCATTGTCGACGCATCCTAAATCGTTCAACAACTAGATAATCCGGATTTGTAGACGCATATACAGCACCTGCAGGGTCTCGACGTTCAAGTTCCTTGCATATTCTTCACAGGGCTCTCCACGTTCTGCCTTCGAGAAAGTGTCCTTTACAGAAAGAACTTCGAACCTAATGGCGAAACGTTTTTACTAGTCGTACCGACAGCAATGCGAGATAAAATTCTGCAACATGCCACGACGAGCCAACATCTGGGCACATGGGTGAGAGTCGAACATTCGCCAGGATTCACTTGAAGTACTATTGGCCTATGTTGCTGGCATTAGAACTGCACTACGTGAAAACTTGTCATCAATGTCACCAACGCAAAACTCCAAAGGTAAAACCAGCCGGCCTTCTCCAGCCAATAGACCCTCCTGATACCCCATTCCAACAAGTCAGCATGGACTTCCTAGGACCTTTCCCGACATCCTCTGCAGGCAAGAAACGGACAGTCGTAGCCACAGGCCATCTGACCCATTACGCTGAGACTGGCTCTCTCTACAGTGCGACAGCTGTCGAAGTCGCCAAGTTCTTTGTGAACAACATACTGCTCAGACATGGTGCACCCATCGTCGTTATTACGGATCGGGGCACCACATTTTCTGCAGACCTAATGCAGTGTCTGATGCGCATGACAAATACCGATCACAGAACAACTGCGTATCACCCTCAGTCAAATGGCTTAACCGAACGCCTCTACAGATCTCCGAACGACATGCAATCAATGTATGTCGATGTTGAAGATAAACAGTAGGATTAAATATTATCCTGCAAAACAATCGCATATAATACAGCCGTCCCAGAAACAACCCTTGCTATTCGAACTAGTATTCGGCCGAAGAGCGACCACCCCACTGGATGCCATGTTACTACTACAGGACAAAAACAGCTATCCGCCTTACTTAGATGACTTCTTGCAAAGAGCCGAAGAAGCACGACAAATGACAAGATACCGAATACGCTGTAAACAGCGCGTCGACTCTAGTCGGTACAACAAGCGATGCAATGACGCACTTTATCATCCCGGTGACAAAGTGTAGATACGCATCCCAGTGTGTCACCGCGGACTCTCTGAAAAGCTTTTTTGCCGATACTTCGGCCCTTATAAAGTACTCCACCATATCAGCGACGTCACTTATGAAGTCAGATCCGCTGGACACGAGAGCTCAAGACACCGCAATCCCATGGAAGTGGTACACGTAGTACCACTTCTATGGAAGCTTTATCATGACAGATCGTCGGGAAACTAGTGGGAGTGCGCATGTATCTTTTCACTGTATCAAGCATCGGGACGATGCGTCTGAGGAGGGGGATAATGCCACGACAAGTTGGCCACAATCAAGTAGCCTGCCGAAATCACCGTGGTGCGAGCACCAGGCAAAACCCGGCTGGCATGCGCTTGGGCCACGAGGAAGAGGAAGAAAGTTGCATCTGTGCAACTCGGCTACTAGGACTTCGACGACCATAGTCATTATACTCGTGGGCACAAGTTCGCCCTAATAAAGACTTGTTTTTTTAGGCTGTCTGCCTCGGCATCGCTGCGATATATATATATATTCATTGAAAGCTGCCCATATGCCTATCCGCTAGTACGGCTGAGACGCACTTCGCCTGACAATTTTGCATTGTGGAAAGTGACCGAATTGTCCAGAGCTAACGTTGAGAGATCAAAAGAAACCTTCAATAACGAGATTTACGAGAAAATACAACCGCTTTCTTACTCTACGCGTGCAATGAGAATGTAAAAACGAGAGTCGATATACCTCGCATCTCTTGAACTACGCGCGGATAACAAGCATCGAAAGCTAATTGCAACCGAAGAGAGTACCATGAGCACAGCCATTTTGCCGAAAATCGCCACGCTGGCTTCCAGGCGACAAGCGATCTTTTCTAGTTTTTTTAAGAAACGCCCGACGCGACAAGCGGCAGCGAGGGGTGGGCCTCCGCGACAGACAATCTTGTCGCTCATCGCTACAGTTTGTCGCTGTCGCGAGGAAATTGCGTGCATGCGGCTCGAGCTCAAAAGTGAGAAGAGAGAAGAGAAATGGCGTCCATGATCAACGCCATTTTACTTCTTCTCTCGGGGCGAGAGGGCAGCTAAGCGTAAAAGAGCAGAGAACGGGGCGAACGTGCATGCGCAATGGTGGTGTAAATGCCACAGTGAGCGATGTCTATTGAACAGAGAGGAGAAGCGAGCGTAGGCTGACAGACGCTGCCTACGCCTGCGTTGTGAGGCGAGAGATGAGCATTGGGCGTTGGAAAGAAGAGAGAACGTGGAAGGTAAGACGCATGCGTGGTTGTGGGGGGTAGACGCTGCATGACTGAGGAACACAGCTCGCGGCATAAGATGCTTTCCATCTAGCAACCAAATCGGGCAGGATCCAATTGGAAAGGATTGGCATTGGAGCAGAGGCTCCCACTGTGGACACTAAAATTCAGGTGCGGCAATGATTGATTGATATGTGGGGTTTGACGTCCCAAAACCACCGTATGATTATGATAGACGCCATAATGGAGGGCTTCGGAAATTTCGACCACCTGGTTCAGGTGCGACGAGAGTTACATAAGGCCCTGTACATAAAACCTTTGCCTAAAAATATGCATTCGATTCATCATACGCAGCGTAGGGAGGCAAGGGACAGAGCTTTAAACGTGGAGTATGGCGAGTACAAAGCGGCAGTGTATACAGATGTTGTGGAATATAAGCAAAGATGCTTTTGTGATTGTGGTGGTGGACAAGCGCAGATGCTTAGTCGCCTCTGGATCGGTCGAACCCGCTCCTCGAAAATTGCAGAAGAAGCGGCAATAGCGCTAGCTATAACTAATTCGCAGTCGGATCTGATTCTCAGTGATTCAAAGACAGCCATCCGAAATCTGGCGAGGGGCAGAATAGTGGTGACCGCCACACGATTTCCGCATGGGGCCACGGGACGAGAAATTAGAGAAATAGAAATTGTGTGGGTACCAGCACACTCTGGGGAACCTGGGAACGAGGCGGCTCACCTGAATGCTCGAGCTTTCGTCAGCCGGGTAGGTAGCCGCCATTTCCGGGGAGGTCCGCGACAGATGGGCTGGTGTCCTTTTATGACCTAACGAATCACAGGATATAGCAGATTGGTCTTACGGGATTGGTCATGGACAGATGGCGATGTACATTTCTAATATCCCCTATTCGCATGGGAAGGCGTAAGTCTGTCACGAAAATAATTCGTGCATGAATACATGAATATTTTCTCTTTCCTACCACTCACGTTATGAAATACTGCCTACTGATCACCTTGGGCACTCACCAGCAGGTCGCAACCTGTGATATATTCGTATGTGCCACAACTCAGATTTTCTAAATTAACATCGCCTATGAAAGTTTAACACAAAAAGGTTATGGAGTTCATAACATAGAAAAGGCATCTCCGTGTTGGCGTCATTGTCACCTTCTGAAAGATTCTGATGAAACGAAATACTTAAAGGAATCACTCGCAATCTAAACCAGGTCTGCTGCATGGCGGTCAGAGATGCCATCACTATGCAATGCTAGTCGCTTCAGACTACTTGCTCAAGTGTCAGAAGACCACTAATTAAGAATGAAGTAGTGGGTATCCTGTTTATATCAGTGTAATAAATATTACACATGTTCAACTAGTCTTTGCAAGCCACAGCTAAGCTTTCCGCGATACGCCTGCGCCAGCTGCTTCTGATATAAAGACAGTTCCACCATAGCGGTCGCTTCCTCGTGGTAAGCACAACGTCTCAACTTTAAAAATGTGGTCCAAATTATGATAACCCATTAGATACCCCTCATACGCTAATATTTTGGGCGTATCTGGTGAGCGAAAAATATGAGCATCCTTATCAATTGACATAAAGGTGTCAATACCAGTCGCAAGTGTTTGCTCAAAGCTGGTGCTTGCTAAGTGTGACGCATAAAAACAATTGCAGCACCAAGTTGGATCTCTAAGATATTGTGCAACGCATATGGTGTAATATGAATTGTTCCCGTGGCCCCTCCTTAGTTCCACCGCATGCTTCATGGTGCTTATTATCCTATCATTTGCATCGCTCACATTCTACTCGATCCCTTTGATGTGCTTATTCTATTATTTTGATGTTATTATGAAGAACATCACACTTGGTTTTCTTCATCATATGAACCGAAATGGTGAATACCACTTCATTCTTATTTTTCGCAAGACACGCTTTCATGGTATTATAAACAGTTGCGTTACTTAATGAACCCTCCACATTTTTTCAGCGTAAATGGCAGGCAATTTTCATTTCTCACGGGGCAATGGTCTGCAGTTTTAGTTTCATTTATATATCGTCTTTAATTCTAGCTACTTTTGCTAAACACTGCTCCTTTTATTACGCTAAAATAAACTTATATTCGTTCATCTTTACGGCATCTATGTCACTTTAAATAACAATTTAAAGCAAAAAACATTCAGATACTAGTCGCATCATGCGCGAAAGTGAGCCACCAGGCAAATGAAATCACACAAGAAATGTTCTTACCACTTGGATACGTTATTCCGCGCTGAGAGTGTAAAATTGTAGGTGTAGTTGGTGAGCATATTCTTACGCATGTTTGTACAGGAGTAAGTTTCAACGATGTAATTGTTTTTCGTGCACTCGTTCAGACCAAAGATGCTGCTGCAGTAATAATACAAGTACAGTGGCTGAGTCGTGTTGAGCACCTAAAAGAGCAGTGCGTGAACTAGTCAATTCCATATTCATACACAGGAAATTTGCAATTGCTTAGCACAAACGTGTCTGTACTTTGCATTTCACAAAAGTTATAGTATATGAACAGTAAAAAACAAGTAATATTTTCACGTTTTAATAGCATTCACACTGTTTTGATAAAGTAGGATTAGGACTGAAAGAGAAGCTTCTCTCTCTATTTCATGCAAACGAAGTGTTACAGGTGTAACAACCGCATCCAACACGTCCCACTGGTGTGTTATGCAACATTCTCAATCAGAGTGTCTTGGAGGCATGCAAAATAGAAACAAAATGCTGTAGGTTCTCTGCAATCAGGTTGTGAAACACTGTGCCTGTTGAGACTGAAACCTTCACCTCAATACATGAGTTCGAACGATCAGCATCTCATTATTTGGGAGCTAGCGTCTCTCGGACTGGTGTGCGGACGCCCACCCATCGCGCTCCGCAGCGAATGCCAATTCTGAACGGTCAACTGCCTCGAATCTTCCTGAGCTGCACGGACCGTCTTCCGCGAAGTTCACCTGAACATTTCGACACCTGGTTCACCAAGGCGGGCTCGTTTTTCATCATTTTAGAGGCCTCTTCGCTGCACCTGCGAGCTAAGCCTAGGCGTGGTTAGGCGAGCCTCCCCGCCTACGGCGCTCGCACGCCAGCTGCGAGATGCCACAGCAGATTGCGATGGAGGGGGACGACGTCACCCCTGAGGAATTACAAGGAAACGGAGGGTTCTCAGTTCTAAAAAGACGGCAAGCATCGCGCGTGAAGTCACTCGCAGCCCGCCAGTCGGTAACGCAACGAGGCGTGACAGCAATGCTTAGCGCTACTCTCCTACGCGTTGCAGCAGCGAGCTGGCAGCCGGCGATGCCACGTAGTCACAATCGAGTCATCGTGCGACCGGGAGGCGGCCTCAACGTGCAAGCCTGCAACCCGCACAGGATTCTTGCCGCACTAACCATGGCAGCTCAGCTAGCGCCGTCGGTAACGGAGGAGGACATTATTTGTCCCACCTCAATGCAAAACATTTTTGTCGTCAGTACGCCTAGCACTACTAATGCAGCAGCGTGCAGTCGACTAACCGAGATCATCCTCACCGACCAGAGACAACCGGTCACGGCCTACCTCTCACCTGCCGGTATCACGAGCCGAGGCGTGATTCGCGGCGTCGACACTGACTTTGACGACGCCGCACTCAACCGCATGCAAATCCAACCGCGCAACTCAAGCCTACTGGGAGCACGTCGCATCAAGAACACTGAAACTGTGGTTCTGATCTTCAACGGGCTCAAAGTGCCCAACTACGTCTACTGCGGCCAGGTCATCTACCGCTGCACGTTGTACAAGCACTAAACAGACACCTGCCACACCTGCGGCCAAGTGGGCCATCGCCAAGACGTGTGCCCCACTCCTTCAACCAAGGTCTGCGACCACTGCAGACACTCATCAACGGACAAACCTCACGCGTACAAACAACCAGTGCGTGCCTTATGCGGCGAAGCACACCTCACGGGCGACCGCGAATGCTGACATCGCTACCAGCTGCCTTACCTGGTGCGCCATCGTCGTAAGCACCTTCGCCGACGAAAGCAAGCCCAGCAGCAAACACCCACCCCAGCACCCAGCCCGGTTCCTGCCAAGACTACGGAACCGCAAGGACCTCCTCTAGGCCCACAAAATCTTACTTCCACTGACCAGCCTACCTGGGCCGACAAGGTGACATGCAAAGGGGAGGCCCGCGCAGCCCAGCGTCAGGGAACTCACCACAGCCACCTGATCAAGAACTAGCATAGTTAAAACGCATGTATCCGGAGCAGGTTAAAGAAATCCAATCGCTTAAAGAAGAGCTAGCAAAACAACAGGCGCCCGAATCACGCGAGGGTAGCATTATCAGCGGCCCCGTCTCGATACGCAGCGCTAAGAAACGGGCAGGCCCGATGCTCCAGGCCGAAGAGCAATCCAAATTTGACGAGTTTACAGCCAATATATACGCGATACTAGAGCAGTACCGCGCAGAGACCACGGTCCAGTATAGCGCTTTCAACGCTAAACTAGAGAGCATGCAGAAACAACTTATCGAGTTAGCTGCATAGCCAGCACAAATGGACGCGAGGACTAAGGTGTTGGAGGAGGACCTGGCACGCAGTAAGCGCGCTGGGCTAATACCTAGACCTTAAAATGGCGTCGTCACAATCATTCACAATTTGGCAATGGACCACAAGTACCCTCCGTACGCGGAGAGAAACGTTACAACAATTCATTGGCTCCATGACCCAACGACCGCCCGTCATTCTCCTGCAGGAAACGCGTATCGACCGATTTGTTCTTCGCAGATACAGAGTCGAGGCCGTCTGTGGGAACAAAGCTCGAGGAATAGCCGCCTGTGTGGCTAAGCCTTATGCTTACATGACACATGCAGTACGCCCAGACCTCAAAATAGAGCATCAGATGATAGAGATCATCCCCAACGATCACATTAAGCAATCGGTATTTATCCTTAACGTGTACAGTTCACCTTCACACAGCACAGAAACATTCACCACACTACTTACTAAAGCGACGCAGATAGCAGGCAACCATCCCCTCATCATCGCGGGGGACATCAACGCCCCCCATGTAGATTGGGGTTACAATCACACAACACAGAAAGGATGCCACTTACAAACACACATCACTCAACACAATCTCATGTTACTTAACGACCTCTCTACCCCCACACACATAGGTAACTCAGTGTCATGGAACTCCTCCCCTGACCTGACCCTAGTACGCAACGTATCGAATCCCACATGGGTTAATCTGTAAGCTGACCTCGGTAGAAATCACTTTATCTGTAGCACAACAGTCAATATAGGCAGCCTCGAGCCCGGAGACTCTAAAGTAGTAGACTGGGACCTCTTTATGCAAATACGCAAACGATAAACCAACCATTACTCTTCACTCGCTGAACTCTTTGCGAGACTACAGTGGGACGTGCAACAACTACCAAAACTATTTCTACAACACGCAACATAGACCACATGGACAGCCACCTCGCACATCTCCTGAAGGCTCACAAAAGTCTTCAAGAAAGATGTAGAATGCATAAACTAAATCGTAGGCCAGGAAAAAGAATTGCATTGCTCAACCGACAAATCGAAGAGTACAGTCAGACACTAGCACGCAATCAGTGGAATGAGGTGTGTAATTCGTTCGACGCACGCATGAGAAAGGGTCTAAAATGGGACCTTCTCAGGCATCTGCTCGGCGACAAGCCCACCAAGTCAGAGCAACGACTTACCCTAGATAGACTGTTACACAAAGCGCGAGGACAGCACTTTACGTACGCGCAGATTTTAGATGCTACAGCTGCCCGGTAACTATGCACAGAACCTACCTCACATGAAGACTATCCACCTTAAGCGGGGGCCACGGGCGACCAATTTGAGCAGGCTATAACCAGCTCTTAAATACGCGAGGCAATAGCAGAGCTCAATACTAAGTCAGCCCCGGGTCCTGACGGAGTCACCAACAAGCTACTCCGCAACCTGGCTGACCATGACATTGTATCACTAGCCACCCACATGAATGAGGTTTGGGAGCAAGGAAGCGTCCCGCCAGAATGGAGGGCCGCGACCGTCATACTCCTTTCCAAGCTAAACAAACCCCTGGAACTCGACTCTCTACGACCCATCTCCTTCACATCCTGTGTGGGTAAGGTCATGAAGCACGTCATTCTCCGTCGAGTCACAAAATATTCAGAGCTAAAACGCCTCTTCACATTCAATCAAGCAGGGTTCAGGCCGGCTATGGCCACGCAGGACGTACTTCTCATGCTGCAGGAGACGTTACTTGGAGTAAGGAGCAAAGACCTCAAAGCAATCTTAGCTCTCAACTTAAAAAAAGCTTGTGATGCCATAAGCCACGCTCATATACCAGACGAGATTCAGGAGGCAGGCTCAGGCCGCCGCTTCTAAGAATACGTCCGCTCTTTCCTAAGAGCCAGAACGGCCACACCTAAAGTTGGGGATCTTAAGTCACACACCTACAACCTAGGCCCGCGCGGCACCCCGCAAGGGTCAGTGCTCTCACCGTTTCTTTTCAATTTAGCCCTCAGACAACTTTCGCAAAAGCTGAAACACATCGAAGGCGTAGAACCCGCGCTCTACGTTGACGATATCACTATTTGGCGCACTGGAGGGAGCGATGGACAAATTGAAGCGAGCCTTCAGGAAGCAGTCACTGCACTACAAACATTTTTAAAGCCCACGGGCCTCACACTATCGGCATCTAAGTCCGACTTGCTGCTTCTGCCACTACAGTACGGCCGCACCAAAGGCGAACCTACCATACACCTCTCCACAATTGATGGCTCGGTTATCCCGATAGTGTCGTCGGTTCGAATTCTGGGCGTTACCCTGCCGGAGAATGGCAAAAACGACTTAACCATCACACATCTCACCAAAAAAGCTGAGGCAGTCATTCATATCGCCCGACGCGTCGCTAATAGACATGCAGGACTAACAGAAAAAGCTTAGTACACATCTTTCTTGCGTTCTTAATGTGCCACGTTCACTACTTTGTCTGTGCTCACCCGTGGAGCAAAAGCGATGAAACTAAAGTAGACAAGCTCATCCGAAAATGCACGAAACGAGTACTTGGTCTACCCATGTTCACAAGCACGCAGCGCCAGCTAGCCCTTGGGGTACTTAACACGTTCCAAGAAATCACCGAAGCACAAATAATGTCCAAACTCATACGCCTGTCTTCGACAGCTGCGGGTCAGGAACTTACACATAAGTCTTCCTATCCCAACTCAAGACAACGAACCAGAACCGTTACCGCAACACCTTCACGCTAAAATCACAGTGCTACCCTTCCTCAGGAATATGCACCCGATGCACAATCAGACTCGAAGAAGGGCGCGAGCTCAAGCCTTACTAAAAGCGGCCAACCTACACGCGACAGACGTGGTTTTCGTAGACGCCGCTAAATACGTGGACAAACCGTACTTTGCAGCTGCGGTGGTCGCCCCAGATAAAGCAGCTCTTAATGCTCTTACCGTAAAAACACAGAAAGCCTGCAAGGTTGAACAAGTGGCCATTGCCCTTGCTGTAGCACTCCCTCAGCGCGACACAATATTTACCGACTCTAAACCCGCTGCAGTAGCATACCACCGCGGTACACTTTGCCAGGCAGCTTTAAGAGTTCTAGCATCTGTTCAAATAACTGTAGACAAGCACATCCATTGGTTCCCGGGTCATGAAGAGATCAACGTTCAACAGGGGTCCCCAACGGTTATGATCTGGCCCATAACCTCGCGCGTGATCTTTCGTGCTGCGGGGGGTCGCGGTCTGGCTCACTGGCTGGGGACACCAACACGCACCGGGAGCCACTCCTATCATATCTCGAAATTTGCTCGCACTATAAATTATTTAGAAAGGAATTTTCCTCACCTCACTCAGCACTAAATAAAGCACAACAATTAACGCTTCGACTGCGGCAAACGCACAGTTACCCCAGCCCCTATATCTGCAGCGAATACCTCCCAGATATAAGGCCCGAATGCCCCAAACGCCTAAATTCCAGGTGCAATTTAAGTCACATGCTGTGGCAGTGTCCCGTGCTAAACACTAGCTTCGGGTCCCTTGCCACCGAGGACGAATGGATCAACCACCTTAGGAGCCCCGACAGGGCCCTTCAACACCAGGCCGTCCAGAAGGCCCAAAAGGTGGCTGGCGAGCTCCGACTCCCAGTCCCCACATAAGTGGAGCCACCGGGCTGGCCCCCGTAAGGGGTGCCCAGACCCCTTCAGGACCTTTAATAAAGTTAATTCTCTCTTTCATCTCATTGTTTCAATCAGTCTTTCAATTTTTTTTAATTTGTGTGATCAGTGTCGTTAGTCTTTCGTCGCTCTATGACTGCATTTCAGGTTGCATTTACGTACGCTCAGTACAGTATACTTTCATGGTAAACATCTACTAGTACTACAGCCTTAAATATTGTATATGTGATACTCTGTTAACCCTTACTGACCCTTACATTATTTTGCAAACATATTTCTTTAATAAATGTCTAATTGGCACTACGCTCTTTCCATGTTGTTGTGCCTTTATTGTACTCATTTATAATTTTCACTGTTATCGCTCCTAAGTTTAATTTAAATGCAAACCATTTCTTAGAGAACGTAGGCGACATTGTGCGTATCTATATCGATCTATCAATCTATCTATCTATCTTTCTATTTATTTTTCTATCTAACTATCCGCCTATGACTTTTAGCTCTCCTGGCCGTTTCAATAATCCTATCGATACCCATTCGGTATGACATAACATGACTGTATGAAGAACATATTTTACTGGTGATTACACGAGAATCATGACATGGATGTCATGAATTCATAATTTACATTTCATGGTCCTGCAGGTCTTGCGGTGGTTTCGTTCACATGGCATGTTTTAAAACTGGTATGGTATGATAATATTGCATGGCGAACACAAACGACCAACCCTAACATGAAAATTGTGACATGCGTGTCTTGTCACAACATGACTACGTGCTAAGCTCATGATGCGCTCGCGGGCGTTTCACTTGCGTCACATATACCCGATTGGGTATTACGGGGCGCGAATGGATGACGAAGGTATGATACTGGTGCAAAAATGATAAACATGAGATGCGTGTCATTTACCAACATGACTACATGCTACGCTCATGATGCGCTCGCGGCCGTTTATATAGCTTCACGTGTACCAAACTCGGTATTATGGGACGCAAACGAACGACAGAAGTGAATTACACATACAAACAGGATAATCACAAGATGCGTGTCATGTAACAACATGACTACATGCCACCCTCATGATGCGCTCGCGGCTGCTTCGCTTGCTTTAGTTATGCCAAATTTAGTTTTACGTGACGTCAATGAAAGACGAAGGTATGTGACTGGTGCAAACATAATAATCATGAGATTCGTGTCATGTGAGAACATGACAGCATGCCACAGTCAAGGCACCAACTCATTTCGACGCGACGTGGTGCGCGTGCTCACCGGCGTTCATTTCGTCAGGTTACGCCGGCGTTGCTACGCCAGGCACCGGTCCTGCCATGTATTCAAAGGCACGCGCCGCGCTGCATTCCTTTGACGCATGCGCGTTTCAGCGAGTTCAGCATCCCTCCATCACAAAAAGAGGGAGACGCAGTGTTGTCTGGGTAACACATCAGCGTGAAGTGCAGCAAGTCACATTTCGCGCTGGTTGCCGTCAGGCCACGCCGACGAACTCTGGTTGCGTTGGTCGCGCCTGGCGTCAGACTATAAAGTTCTCGCGTTTTTCTAACGTAGCGGCACTGTGCTCAGCGTGCGAGTGCGTCAACGCTACATTGAAGTATGGTGGCCCTTCATAGCGTGCTCGCGGTCATTTCGCTAGCTCAACATATACTAAATTTGGTATCACATGACGTGAATCGATGACAAAGGTAAACGACACATCCATACATGGCAATCATCACATGGAAGTCATGTACGGCATCATTTACCTCTACCTCGTAACGTTGTGCTCAGTTTAAAGTGGCATATCAACCTTACTTATTCGTGCTTCGCATACCATCCATTCCCACTGTATGTGGGATTTGCCATTTTTTTTTTCTTTTATGTACCTTATACCATGAAGTTTCACTGCATTGTATATGCAAAGAGACATCTTTGTGTATATTTCTCCTTGTATGTACCACTCTCTGTTTCCGCCAAGCGTTTTCAAATTAACTTTATGGTAAATATGAGTGCCAAACGCGAAGTATAGGATTATTCTGCAACTATAGAGGCTATCACTGATGAAGCTGGACTTCACCGTCGCATGTATATATTTCGCTGAACCTACCCGCAGATCTGAAAACTGACAAAAGACGCTGTGATTAACACTATTCGTGGAAATATTTATCAGTTACACATACTTTTGTATCACAAGCACCATGAATTATTTAGGCTTTATTAGTCCGAGGACCATGTCTTATAGCGTGACGGCCATGTGACATCTGGTGGAGGTGCTCTTAGTTTATGTTACGGACGTGGGGAACCAGCTCATGCAGCGAAGGAGACCTCCTTGCCAACCCTCTAAAGCAAGCTACGTGAAGGCAACAAACAACCAGAGTAGGGGCATTTAGCAGATGATACGCGTCAGACCAAGGCCATGAATATGACTGCACGAAGGCAGACCACCACTGGAACGGCACCCTCTCCAGTCGAGCTACAACTCAGACAGCCGCGAGCTTTCTGTGAATCTGCAATCAAAGATCCGGAACGCTGCCTCGGAGTGTAGGACCGCGTCAACGTTTTCATTACCTAGAGCAGTGAAGCCAAACTACGGGTTAGGTCCTTAGCCTTGAACGATGCCATAAGGACATAAGTGAGTAAACAAGAGCAACCCACGGCAATGCGGGGGCATTTTCTACCCAGGTTCCTCATCATATTCGTGATTGTTGGCCGTTAGAATGACGGAGGCTCTGCTAGATATTATATTGTGGCTGGCAAACGAAAATGTAGCTTTCTTCACGAAGGAATTGACAAGATGCTGCCTCATGTCCAAACCTTCGGGCTGTTGTTACACCTGGTGAAATACAAATATCTTACAAAAGTCATGCGAGTTACAGCGTGGGTCTTTATATTACATTTATTCAGAACTGTTGAAACACACGTTTTTGAAAAAAATCATTGAGCATACAGAGACGGTCGTCAACAATGCTGCAGGCTTCTAAATTAACGTTGTTGAAAAAGAGTTATATTTGAAAAAGATATAAAAAATGAAGAAAGACAAATTGTTAAACCAAAAGTTGGCTGCCAAAACGCTCCATCCTTTTATGGATGTGGAAAGGCGACTGCGTGTAAGAGGCGGGCTACAGTGAACAGAAGAAACAAACAGTTAGGCATCCTATTCTCTCACCTGTGCATAAAGACTTCACTACAATTCTAGTCAGTGGCAGCCATCGGTGTGTCCTTTGCGGAAATGTACAAGACACGCCTTACTGAAGCTAGGGAAGATTTTTGAATACCTCTGGCTTGGCAGGTCATGAAGGAAGTAATCAGCGGATGCTGCGCATGTGCGAAGTATACAGCCAATCCAGCGAGCGCCCCTGCAGTACCCTTAACAAGAGAAAGAGTGCGTCGCTCCGATTCTTTTCCGGTAGTGGAACACCCTTACCTCGTGGAATTTTAAGTTTTTCTAAAACAAAAATGAGACGTGTCTTTAAAGGTGTACCTTTTTGAAGAAATACATAGGAGCTTATAAAAACTTATCGTTTTCGTGTAGCTGTAGCAACGTTAAAACAGCTTCCTTGCATTGCCATTTTTCACCTATTTATAGGATCATGTGATCAGGCATACTTCCGTGGTGCGTTGACGAGGGATAGAAATGATATGTCAAAACAAGGCTTACCTTTAGAAGGTTGAGCTCTGTTCCATTGTCTTTTTCTTTAGATTCAACAGAAAAGAACAATGAAGCCACCATAACCATAATACAGCTACATGTAAGTTCATTAAGAGTGAAGTACGCCATTTTCAGTTCAATCAAGCTTTTAGTGTCACTGATTTTCAGTGTATCCTTCGAAATTTCGCATATCGTCTTGAGCTACGAGACTCAGCCAAACAAGCCTATCTCACAACGTTTTATACTAACGAAACACACAAAAAAGCACATGTTTACACACAAACATGCAGTCGTTAAGTGAAGCTGTCCTATCGGTACTCCTTTTGAAGCTTGTTTTGCTTGTGACCTTTCTAATATTATTTTTCTAAGAAGGTCATAGAAGCCTTCGATTCTAATGTGCAAAACAATGCTTGACGAATGCGTCATGAATTGGTATGTACGATAGTAAGGTGCCATAAAAAGCACCTTTGTTTGCTTATTTATTAGAATGGCCTGGTATCATTTGTATGGTGGATACTACTGAAAAACGTATTTCGGCGGGTGCCAGTATGCTGTAACAATTTAAGGCAGTATCACTGATCACAATTTCGCTCTTTACTGGTGACAATAAATTTGTTCTTCATCAAAACATTTGTCAATAGACAGCATCAGAAACCCCGAAAGCAAAATCTATGACAACTTTTTAATGCACTAATGGCTTACAGTCACATATTTTTGGTGGTACGCTCATTACGTTAATGGGGCTGTCAACCATGCTAGCAAGCATTCGTTGAATAACTTTAGTACTAGTGTTTTTTTTTTCATCTTACCAATCTAGAGCCGCGAAAATTGACAAGGCCGTTAGGAACGCGTACAATTGAAAGAAGTTTAAGAATGCCTGGAACGCCTTCGCTCACAGTCGTTTGGGCAGCATGCCGGGAGGAGCGTGCGCACGCGGAAGAGAGAGAGGTTAGGAGAAGGAAAAGACTGAACTTCTGCAGCCCTACTTGGGAGCACGCCTCAGCGTTTGTAGGGCAGAGGTGAGGGTAATATAGATGTGACAAAAAGAGAAAAAGAAGGCGAATGATGTCCATGACGTGGCGGGCGACTTCTATAGCTGTTTGGCTAGTCCAGTGTCCACAAGGAAGCGAAGAAGTGCCTTGAATACCTCAGTGTGGTGCCGAGCAGAAAAGAGGAGGTGCCTCTGTGTAGCTGCGGGTAGGCTATGGCGACAGAGTTAGGCGAGCAAGAGTTGGCGAGCAAACCACTATTCTATAATAAATCAATAACTCTTGCCTTGGCACTCTTTGGCCATCGATTGGCCCTTGTGCCATAAAGCGCCACACATCATCATCATCATCCCCTCTTGCCTAATACCAACTAGATCCTCTCTCAAGATACCTTACCGTCTTCCGCCAACTCGCAGGAACTCATCGACACGATAAGCGACCACGAATGAGCTATGGCTAAACTTGAGAAACAGATTACCGGTGCTCTAAGTGACCAGGAGTTTATCGCAGAAATTATGCGCGCTCTGAACTACCTCGACAAGATCTTAAGAGCCATCAGCATACTTTGACCCACGATTAATGCACGTGCACTCCTTGCTTCTATTTTCATCGAAGCCAGTCATACTGCTGGCACGAGTGACGAATCCAGCAAATGCGCGAGAGCTGCCCGCTGGGACGTCATCGGCCAAAATATCGCCTATTACACTTGTCCATGATCACAAGCTTTGTCGCTTAAACTTCCAAGTGCTTCTTTGTAGCGGCCCAAACCTTGAGTAGCAGGTGTACTGGGAGCACTACGAAACCAACATTCATACGTACCCGGATTACACCAGTATCGAAAAGTTCAAGTGCTTGCAGACGTGCTTGTCTGACGCTGCGAAGCTGACGTAAGCTTCTCCTGCGCCTTCTGAACTTGCGTACTTCCTATCCGTATAGTGTGCTTGCTTATTTTTTTATAACAGGAGGTAAAAAAAAAACCTTACGATATTCCTTCCATGCACAAGTACACCTCTCCAGCTATCAGACTAACTGCAAGTTCTGTTACGGAACACAAAATGATCTCTGTAAGCATCAGGTCAGTTCCACGACCGTTACACACCTGCATCCGTCAGGAGAGTGGTTGCAAAAGTCTTCGGCAGAAAAAAAAGTATAATGCTACGTGACGAATGCTGCTTTAATTCTTTAGACATTTTAAGGCTCAAAGAAGCGCCAGAGTCCAGGAAAGCATCCATAAATACCCCGCAATGAACGCCGAGTGCAGCATTTATTCTACATCCAGGAACTAAAGCATAACCTTTTTGGAAACGCTGATTCGACCACCCGTCAGCTGAAATTCACTAACGATTTATAAAAAACAGATCATACCAATCGATGAGCTTCTCTTGTACATGCAAGACCAGCGTGGCAACTACAACTAATATACTTGGTGCCTTGGTATCTCCGCTTACCATCAACTAGCCTCCTTCGTAATGCAGCTACAAGTGGCGTCAAAATAGTAATGCTGTGCTCAGTGACCGCACACAGGCCCATTAAAACCACACACTGCGTCACTCCAGTAAACCATAACTGTGCGTTACTGACGTTGATTACCAATTAAGCTTTATTTAACCGACCACGCAGTTTCACAGGCCGAAAAAAAACACAGCGTATCCACGAGGTGAATAATGACGAGTGGGGTGAAGTGGACAGATGGACGGATGGACGCGCAGACGAACGGATGGACGGATAACGCACGCGCGAATGTACAGACGCAAGGACGAATGCGCAGACGGATGAACTCACGGACTTTTTGCCCCACTCTTCATTCACACCGCGGATATGCTGTGACACCGTTTTATTGACATGCAATGCGATGCAACTGGCTACTACGACGACATCAATAACATCGACGACACGGGAAAAACGACCCACGGCGTGTAGGGATTCACTTCTAAAAGAAAAAAGTCACAGCATGGAGTGCATGATGATGAGGGCAACGAAGCGTCTATCAGTTCGTTCACTCCTCCGTCCTTCCCTTCGTTCTCGCTTCCCTCCGTCTGTGTGACGGTCTATGCGTCTGTTCGTGCGTCCGTCTCTGCGTTCGTCCATCCATCCTTCCGCACATCCGTTGGTCTGTGCGTCCATTCATCTGTCCGTGCGTCCATTCCTGCGTCCGTCTGTGCGTCCGTTCCTTTATTCATACATGCGTCTCTCCGTGTGTCCGTTCCTTCATTCATTCATGCGTCCTTCCGTGCGTGTGTCTGTCCCTCCCACCATCCTAGCTAGTAGACGGAGGGACAGACGCACGCACGCACGCATCTAGTGAACGCTCCAAGTACCGCCAGCTCGTATCTTTTCATTAGAGATTCATGATGTGGAAGTAGCGACCTCCCGCGGACATTCCAAGGACTAAGCGAGAGGTGGCATGGCCGGGCTAGAGGAGCGGCACGCGCGCACTCTCTTACGGCCTGCGCTTCGTGTCCACTTCCCACCTTTCACCGCTACTAGTTAATGGCACTGCGGCCCAAACTCGCTAAGCCTTTCTAAAACATGGGAGGCTACGCCCAGCGAGTTTAACGTGGCAACTTTTTCTGGTCAGATAGTGCTCAAAGTACGTCCTTCTCTTACTGGTTTCGTTTAGTAAGCATCTAATTGAAGGAAACTTTTATTGGAGAAGGAGTCACTGATACTAGTCTCTGCAAGTTAGTTTATCAGAAACAACAATCTTTTCATGAATGATTAACGTGTCCGGGTTTCCTCGTCAGTTCAAGAGTGTTCGCTCATGCGGCTGCTCCAGTCCGACTGTGGAAGTGGCTACCTAATAATACGACGCACTACTACTAGTACAACATACATGGTGTACGCAAGATCCACGGCTAATGGCGCTTCGTCCCTAAAACACGCCCGCGCGCGCTCGGGAAACCGATTCTTCGCTGGTGGCTGCGCTGCTCTCTGTAGTACGACGGGTCTAAGTTTGTCGAATTGGCCTGGCTGCTCTAAACACCACCTCTATTCAGCTCAGGCGACGTTACCCAAATTCTGCCGCCCCCGCGTTTTTTCGCATCAAAGTGAAACCGGGGGCGCGCGAATTGGCATACGTCAAGTTGACTTGGGGTGCTGCGTGCATCAGTGTATAAAGCACTCAACTTCAGCTTCAAACTAAAGTTATTAACCTTACATCACTAATTTTTATTACCTTTGTTTGGTGTGAACGCTACTTCGGCATAAAAAAGGTCCCTGCACAGTGCACAGTGACAGCCTTTGCTGCCTGAGACCACCGAAGCGTTCGCAATCGGCGATTGTTAGTGTGCTCATACATCAGTTCAATGAAGCGTTCCAAGAGGACGAACCCCACTGCCAGACAAGAGTGTTGTAAGAGGCAACTTTCTGAGATACAAGGCTCGTTTATAAAGCTACCTACTTGTATGTGTTATGGCTCCACAGTGTGTGCAGAGCTACCGCAGCTTTCACTGCTGAGGAAAGTATGGCGTATACTAATTTATTCAACGGCCAGTTACCTTCTGCTTTTTGGCATCTGATCGTGTTCATTTTCCTGACGTCATTTTGGAAATGAAAATGAGTCAGTGAAGTCTTGCTCAGCGACGCATAAAAGACTTTGTAACACTTGTTAATCTACTTCTTTATCAAAATACAAAATGGTCGACAACTATCAAGAAGCAATCAAGGTGGGAAAAAATGACACTGTAGGCGCCTTTGTTTGTTCTGCATTACATCCGCCTTTGATGTTATGCGATTTTTCACATTTAAGCAAAACATTTTCGTGTTAACGCAAAGTTTGAAGTGGCCGTGTCAGTTGCAGATTAAATTCTGCCATTACACTTATACTGGTACCTTGCACTCTGACCCTAGCATCGGCGCACATGTGATTTCTGGCTCAGGCAGTTCTTATGTTGATGTCCAGGGAAATGTTAAGGCTTGTGAGATCGAAAGTCCCTTAAGCAGCCGTTGTCGCTAGAGCCAGCCTTTTGGCATGTCTTGTCTTCCTCCTGGCGACAGATTGTTTTCTTATCCGCGTGCATTTAAAAAACTTACTCACTCTCACTCGTCCCCAAAAGTGAAAGACATCAATGCGAACTATAGAAAAAGGTAAAGAGAGGCAGGAGAGGGGTGTATATTTGGGAGCGTATGGGGTAAGAATTTCAGGTAATAGGCAAAAAATGGCAGCAACACACCTCTTGTGAAACATTTTATTCGTGTTCGAA